TTAGTGTCTTAGCATGAGTGCGGGATCGCGTCCCGTTTGAGGCCGAATTTTTGCCATAACTCGCCGACGTTAAAGAGGATTTCGTCCTTTATTGGCATGTAAAAAGAAAATACAAAGAAGATGTATGCAAGGGATATCCTATTTTCTACAATCTTCCAAAATATAGGCTACAATCTAAACACTACAAACGAATGGTGGCCATAGACAAATGCATGGGGTACAATGCACTAATGAGATGTCTTCTTCGATTGTGAGAAATAAGAAGCTCTTAAATCTCTGCAAACTATACATCTATAACATGTGAAGAGTCACATGTAAGGGCAAGGAGATGAAGCTCTTGAAGATTAGTCTACATTTTAGCATAGACCGCAAGGACGTCCACAGTACTGCATTTTGTAGGCATTTGAGTAGAAGGTGCTCGTACAGAACCCATTTCGAACCCAGCTGGCACATCTGAAATAACGAGAAGATGGGTTCGAGTGGAATGTGTTGGACCGAATTAGGGAAAAACTAATGAATGTGGCCTTTTGTGCTGAAGCCAAAATCGGGTAAGACCTCCTTGAGGAAAGATGGTGAGAGAAGGGAACCACCCAGAGAAAAGATCAAAAAGTGCAACCTGAGTTCCATACGAGTGAAACCTTACTTTGGGTCGTTTCCACAGCCAGTACCTGAAAGATAAATTAGTTACGATCAATTTGTTAGCTCGAGTCTCTTTCTCATCTAAAGCACTGAGAATCGAGATCGCGTTCAACAGAAACACTTACCCGGAGCTCCAGTTGTGTCATCGTTGCAGAATCCGCATGTCTTCTTGCAGTACTTCTGTAAAAGTGCTCGAAAATATAGGAATATATAAATGGATATCTATTTTGGTACATTTGATTCACCTGCGCAAAGTCTTGGAGCGATTTACTTTGGCAAATGAATGCGTTTTCCATGCCACAGTTGGGTGCTTCATCGACACAATCACCTGAAATTCAAATATGTTTGTAAACATGACAACAAAACTCTGGATCAGGAACCATACTTCTGCACTTGTGAACTGTCCGTAGAATCAGTCAAAAATGGGTTGACATCGGTCCCAGGGTTTTTTCTTTTGTTTTTGTTCTGCTCGTTCGTTTTTCTTTCATTTTCAACTCATACATCTCCCTGGTTCCCTTGGTTGACTAAATGTTATCAAGAAGGTCTCAGAGAGTGGCTGCTGAGCTGACTTGATGGCTATGGAAGATGACCGATGGTGGCGCATGGACTGACCTTCGTCAGAGTTCGCTGTAGTAATCAAGACAAACCTGCAGTACAGAGACCGCACGTCTTCGGGCAGTCTTCTTGAAGTATAGTTCTCCAGGCAGAACTCTGGCACATTTGCTGTGTCACTAATGAGCATGGAATTCGTGGTTCTGAAAAAAGAACTCGGGATATCAGCAGTTTTCAGTGGTCATCGTAAAACTGTGGCGGATTTTCTTAGGAGTTCAATTGAAGTTCTCAGACTTACGGGGTTTGTCATCGCACATAAAGGCGGGTGTAAGACAGCAATATCCACACGTTTTGGGACAAATATCTATTGCTGCTTGAACCAGAGCAGGATTCTGAAAAAAACCAACTTCGTTTCGATCGAGTAGGAAGCTTTCCAAGTGGCATTCTAAGTAGCAGAGAGGCATCCTTAGAAGGAGGAGGCCCTTCTGTAGCTGGCCCGAAGTACAAATGATTTTTTCCTTAGCAAATTCTCTGACGTACCACAGGATTCCCAGCACATTTCGCATCTCTATCGGTATCATCGTCCGCTTTCACTGCTGTCGTGTAGATGACGAGGCAGGCAGCATCAGAAATCTTGTTGTTGCAGTTTATAGCCGATTCGGAGTACTGAAAGAGGTATTGGAAAGGTATCTGTGCTACTATGAGGAAGCGACTGATCCGTGAATCAATATTGGAACCATAATTCCTCAAAACTTGCTTCTCATTAGTTCATTTCTAGAACTGAAAAGCACTGAGAAGTTACTGGTACACTACTAGTGGCCCCCCTCAGACCCTCATGCTGACTGGTTTTTGCTATGACAGAGACAAGTCTTTTTGATCACACTCAAGTGACTTGGACCGCTAGCTATGCCGATGAAAACAGCAGCTGTCTCACTCTTCTTGAGAAAGTAAACCTAATGAGAACTCTATGCTTCGGCGGTGCTTGCCATAATTAAGCTCCAACAAGGGAAAGGGAAAGGGAAAAAGGGAGGGAGGCATAAAGTACGATCAGGGTCAAGTATGGCTTTCGAGAAAGCCATTTCAGTTTCAGTCATCCATGCCTCAAAGTTTTTCTTACTGTACAATTCTCCCAAAAAACGTGAACCGTGGGCGCATGGCAGAAAGGCGTCCCATACGACTTCACCACACCCTATGTGGGTACGACATCACGTTTGCTGAAGTTGTACTTACTTACCTTAGGTGTACCAGCAACCATGTGGGTACAATTTAGATCCGTGATTCCTGCTTCTATACCTCCTATCAGGAGAGCCGAAATTGTTAGGATAAGAAGCATGATTGAGCTGAAACATCAGGAACTAAGCGCTATAGGACTAGTGCACTGAATTAGAGCTAAAACTCAGAATGGTAATTACCGAAAAAGTCGGCTTTTTATATCGAACCGACTCTTTCATCCCAATGGTGTCAAAAAAGTGCAGATAGCGTACAAAGAAGAGCCATTGACTCACTCATTGTCAGGTAGCATCACAGTGACGTAAACTAAAAATAGTTCTTTGTTCTACGGTTCGTATTGTTAAGCTATTAGCCCCAAAGTAGAGGTACTATACGAATTCGATCGGTAACTTTTGCAACCAGGCTGATACCGTAATCTAAGATATCTCACCCATTTCATCAACACAAACTTGCCGAGACTCTGGTTCGACGTTCGGAGACGGATCGCTTTTTACAGAAGATTCGTACAGATAGTTTCTCATATTTCTCCCTTCTTTGGGTGAATATGAGTTATTTTCTTTTTAAAAATAGTGGTGACTAGTAATTACGAAATNGAACCGACTCTTTCATCCCAATGGTGTCAAAAAAGTGCAGATAGCGTACAAAGAAGAGCAGTTGACTCATTCATTGTCAGGTAGCCTCACAGTGACGTCAACTAAAAATAGATCTTTGTTATACGGTTCGTATTGTTAAGCTTTTAGCCCCAAGGTAGAGGTACTATACGAATTTGATTGGTAACTTTTGCAACTGGGCTGATACCCTAATCTAAGATAGGTCACCCATTTCGTCAACACAAACTAGCCGAGACTCTGGTTCGACGTTCGGAGACGGATCGCTTTTTACAGAAGATTCGTACAGATAGTTTCTCAATTTTCTCCCTTCTTTGGGTGAATATGAGTTATTTTCTTTTTAAAAATAGTGGTGACTAGTAATTACGAAATTTGTTGGTTAATGCCAGTAACTTGTACCTGAAGTTCTATCAAAGGGGCAGATTAAAAGCTCCTAGCCCGGTTTAGTCGACGTACACGCCCAAAGTGGACGAGTTCACACGGCTTTGTAGACGTTGCACAGGTTGCATGATTTGCAATGAGCCCAACACTTGCAGGTAGGCAGCTTATTGTAGCCAGCTTAAAGGCGCAGTCCACGATAATTTTGAGGTACTCGCTTTTACTCAAAAAAGCAGAAGTACAGATTGGGAATAGGTCATAGGTAGTGAAGAAAGCTAGAGAATACGCTGGGTGGAAAATATTGCTCCTCAAAAGTAGGGAAAATAGGGGCTGGACGAGATTGCCATGACGGAAATAACATGGAAGGGTTATTTGGATGAGATTTCAGTCGTTGCAATTAGGCAAAGAGCTGACTACATCAAGCTGGAAATGTACGGAACTGCCTTCCATTGCCGCTATGGGTCATGACAAGTAGTTTGTATTTCCTACATGGGTTCCCTTGTGATCGGTGCAGCCTCCACAATGCAGGTGAAACTCGTCCGAGGATACACACTGGCCAGACTTTGAGCCTTTATAACTCCCTAACTAGGCCGTTTTCCGACCTAATAGTGCCAGATATGGTATACGCGGGGACCTCATTCATCATCCTACGAGGGAATCTCAGGAACAATTTTTATCGTGATCTGTGCCTTCAACGTGGCCTGCTGTAAGCAATAACGTCTGGACAAATACTCCTTCCATGCAAATTTTGAGCAAATTTTCCTCACATTTCTCTGGATACGCCAATTTTCGTGTTTTCTACGTCGCTTTTGCCCTATTCTGGACTATCATTTTCATAATTCGTCTTAAGTTGGATACTCCAGAATTATCGTGAACCGTAGTGCATTAAAGGATTATAATAACGTCATTGTGTGATTCATGACGTGACGTCTATGATGTTTGGATATCCGGACGCTAGCTGCATTGTTCCAAAGGAGATTCTGTGTACTTCACTAAAGAGTACTCTAGAGGACAATGGGTTCACGTGAGAACTGATTGTTCCAGCAACTCAGTTGTACTCTTGGTGATGAAAAGCAGCTATACAAACATCCGTATAGTTTATCATAGTCAGACTGCTTCATTTGCACTAGGCGATTATCCAAAAAGCGTGGGTACACTCACTGTACGTGCATGCTTCACTTTAGTGGGGCATCTATACAATATTTGAGAATGAGAGACAAAGGTTCCAGAAAGTATCCTGATCCTTACTTGTGAGGGAACCATTGTCGGGATGAAGAAAACTCAAAGGAGGTACAAACCATGCTGATCGGATAGTTCTGATTACAGTACGTGCCAGAACGAACTGTTGAGTGTTCGACGTTTTAATAAACCTTTGTTAGCTTACATATAGAAGGTATCGATGTAGAATATTACGTCAGCGGCAAGGAAAACTTAGAACATGGAGTATTTTTCACGTGCAAGGCTTTCCCGGTCTGACAAATTCGGGTCCGGGAACTTCTCCCTTGTCACGGCGTCGCACACGCCGCACCCGCCGCGTATCGCAGGATTGCGATGGAAGATCGGAGCGCGCAATTTGTGAGGTAGGGAGTCCTTTAATTATTTGAATTGGCTGACCGCTTTCTTCAATTTCAATGCAGTCTTGATCGCCGCTTACATAGGAGGAGTCATTTTAATTAATCAAGTCTAATAAACATGAAAACGAAAAAGAAACATAAGAAAAAACGATCAAATCCAATAAAAAAGCAAGGCAATCAACGAAAAATATCGCGTCCTATCGATTGGCGGGAGGCGGGGTGAGTACGGTAATTGCAGTGACATTTGCGGCGTGCCGCAAGGGAGAATGCCGCGATAGGGGAGAAGTTCCGTTACCCGACAAATTCCCATCAAAATCTTTTCCAGACCACTGTAGAGTGAATTTTGTCGATGTAAGAATGTTTTGAGCACTTCCATATTTCCACTACAAACGAACAACGACAAAGGTTCAGTCGATCGAGAATGGGCCTTTTCTCATGGAAATGTTCCTTGCGCTGACGGTCTACTGATTCCGATATCGATAAATTTCGCGACAAGATGAAGAAAGGCTTGAGCAGAATACCCGCTTCTGGAAGTGTGCTTCTGATGCAGCAGGGAGGCAACAATGGGACAACTTCACGAAGTAGAGGAGATCTGGAAGCATGATGTTCGAGCGTTGAATGTATAGGTTTTGCTGATGATTTCAAATTATATCATTTTATCTCGTCTGACTCAGACAATGCATTGCTACAGGAAGCCGTTCATGATGTTATCAAGTGGGCCAAGCGGTGAGAGTTGCTTCCTTATTCGGAGGGAAGACCAAGCTTATAGGCCTGCGTAAAGTCGGAGTGGATTGTTCCTATTCACTTGATGGAGTAAATCTGAACGTAGTAAACGAAATCAGATACTTAGGGTCCCTAGCTCAGGGCGATCTCAGTTTCGATGAACATTGTTCACAAATTGCTTCGGAATCAACGTTGGCAATATATAATTTTTCTCGGTCTCTCTGAACGAGGGATGCTCAATTTCTATGTAGTGCGTACATTTTACATAAGAGTAAATACACCTCTCTCGAGTAGTAGAGTAATACTTCTCTCGAGTATGGCATAGTGGTATACAACACATACAAGATTAAGAGTATTAGGACGTTGGAAAAGGTTCAAAATTGTTTCACAGGCAAAGATTCTTTTTTGACAACAAGTGGCTTCAGGTACGAGCAGATTCCTAGTAGCGGAGATCGTAATGACAAACTCGGTATTGGACCCTTGCTCTCAGGAGGAAAAAATTTGATCCTTCGATGCTTTTCAAGACCTTACATTTCAAGACTGATCTTAGCCTAGTAGTCTTTTTTTCAGTTAGGGAGTCGATTACAAGAAGTTACTCTAGGAAGATCACGATTCACAAAGCAAAGCATAATGTTAGGCATATTTCTTTGCGAGTAGGACTATGCGGGAGTTCGACAAGCTGTCGGTTGGAAGTAGTCACCAGCAAAGGTTTAACACTGTTTTAGGCAATTATCTTACATCATATCTTGTATTTGCTCAGAAGTTTCTTTCAACTGCAATTAGGTGTCGTTCGGATTTTTGTTGCAGGAGTTTGTAGTTTATATTTGTTGTGTTCTTGTTTGTTTGTTTGTTTTCGTTCTTAGTCTATGCACCACCCAGGAGTGCTTGTGTAATAAACAAGTACAAATACAAATGTTTTGGTCCAAATCTTTTACAACATGATCTGATGTCGCCATATTCCTTTTGAATTACTGGCAGTGTTCAGATTGGTCATCTCACCTTGTTGCCAGCCGCGAAAAAAGGGTACAATATTATTTCCACATGATGGAGGTATGTGCTGGCAGTGGCACACCTTCGGTAAAATTAGAGATGGATAAGTGTGCGATCCCACTTCTGACAGCTGTTTGAGTTTTCCAAGATGAAAGAATTATTGCACTGGGATGAGATGGAGATGCGCGGCCAACTCTAATTTCCACTCCTTCCTCAAGCGTAAGGCAGCTCAGTTGAACACATTGATCACAGAAATACCTTGATAATGGAAATTTTGCCTACCTGACATAGTACCTGTGTTGCTGCTACCCAAAGCACAATACCCTTCCGCGTCCTTTGGCATAAACTCCTTTCTTTTCCACCTGATTGAGAAATATTGCAGGTGAAGTTCGTGAAACACTCTGCGCCCGCTTTTTGCCGCGATTATAGACACAGTTCACGATAAAAACGGTTTCTGAGATTCCCTCGCGGGACGAATTTGAGTCCCCCGCGTCTACCATATCTCGCATTCTTAGGTCGGAAAACGACCTAGTTAAAGAGTTATAAAGGCTCAAAGACTGGCCCTTGTGTATCTTTGGACGAGTTTCACCGGCATTGTAGAGGCTGCACCAATCACTAGGGAACCCATGTGGGAAGTTCAAACAACTTGTCATGACCCATAGCGATGAACGACAGTTCTGCACAGTACTGTAGTAGTATGTAGTCAGCTCCTTGTGCAACGTCCAAATATCCCTTCCATGTTAATTCCGACATGGTTAACTCGTCCAACCTCTATTTCCCCTACTTTTGAGGAGCCATATTTGAATTCTCGATCTCTTCACAATCGATGAACTATTCTCAATCAATACTTCCGTTTTTCGAATAAAAACGGGTACCTGAAAGTTATCGTGAACTGTGCCTTTGAGCGAAAGTTCCCTGCTAGTAGTCTGTAGCACAACAAGTTGATCTCAATTTCACCTTCGTTATGTAGCCATAGCCTCGGTAAGGGCACGAGATGCCCATCTGGTTACATTCGCCCTTAGTCAGAGGTGGAGCTATAGATTAGGTGGAAATGACTGTTTCTACCCTTTCACCTGGTTTTCGATCTTGATCGGTTCAAAAGTTCTCGATTGAATTTGGACATCATGATTGGCCGAGTTCTTTTTTAGCCATCCAAATTAAGGCAAGTTATGGAAGGCAAACCAAGGAGTGAAAATGGAAGTCGCTCTTGCTTTCTCCCCAGCAACGGCTGATATGGCCTACTATCTGTATCACCTTGCCTGTGTTTTCAAGTCGTAAAATCTGTTACCGCAGAACACTACCGGTTCTGTTGCCGGTGAATTCGCTCATAGATAGTGCAATAACACTGACCATGAGATTAAACGTACAGTTTCTGGATGTGCCACATTCTTAGTGATGAAATAATCCACAATAAGAGGAGAAAATTTTAGGGAGGATTATATTTTAATTTTGAACTTTCAAAGGAACAGTTCACGATATAAAAGACTACTGAATTTGCATCTGAGATGAACATGTGGCTTGGAAGGATACTCTGGAAGGACACAAGGGACTAGGTCGGGTCTAAAAACGGCCTAACTAGGACATAAAAAGGACTCTAAAAATGGCTTAGCCGACATACACTCTCGAGGCGGACGAATTCTCACGGCGTTTTGGAGGCAGTAGAGGCTCGCCATTCGCACAGGGGTACCTTGCACACAGGCAGCTTACTGTAGCCAGCTATACGCACTGGCGCGCACATTCGGACAACCCGTCCGAATATCCATCCCATGCGATTTTGTCGTCAAATTCTCGTCCAATCCCTAGTTTTACTATTTTTTTGTAGCCTAGTATCTCTAAATAGGCCGATTTTCGTGTTTCCTTCGCCAATTTTGCCCGCTACGGTCTTTGACTTTCACTCTGGCTTAGAATCAGGTACCCAAAAAATATCGTGAAATGTACCTTCAAATTAAGTAATGTATGCCTCGAGTTGTTCAGAGTTTCCAGAACTTTATCAACAAAATGATAGACAGATGTTGAAGCTTTATGTAAATCGACAGTTGATAAAACAGATTGATGATGGTATCAGGCACAGGGAAGAATATATGTGGTCTGCATACAATGAAGAATGATCGAATGAATGGTGAATGAGTGATAAAATGATGATGATAACGTGAAATATAGAAAAGGGTAACGAGCTTCGTATAACTACTCAGGGGGAAGACTAGAAATAATGAGAGAGTGTGAGTGATTAGTGTGGGAGGTGTTCGTTGATTTCTCATTCTATTACAGTAATCGCGATTTAAACGAATGGCAGTGGGGGATGTCTAGGGGGGAAAAAGGAAGAATAGCTGCTCGTAAGATATGCCTAGCTGTACTGTGATGTAAGCGAAAGTGTGGACGACTAAATGATGATGATGATGATGACGATGAAGCCAAATGTACAATGCACAAACGATCAAACAAGCCACGAATAAGACAACGTCGTGAATCGATACGGATCGATAAATTGATAGTGAATAGCGTAGAGGATTTTGATAGAGGGACGGAGGATAGACGACGGTAACGCACACACACACACATGCCACAAATCACAGGAACGCCTCAGCTTAGTAGTGCATTCAGTTACCGACGATCTGAATTCCGCTAAGCTCAACATCGCCCTGGATTTGTAGACCTCCGACTTCATGGGGATCGATACGATGAGCGTAAGAGGCAAATCGCTCGCCGTTTACGAAAATCTGAAATATACTAAGTAGAAACTGTAGAAGAAATCGATATGTAGACTGATACAGACCAATACTAGACCCAGTGTGACTAAAAATGGTGAAGGGGGGAAAAGCGTTAGAGAGGAAACCAGCCCTGATCTGTTTTTGATTACCCACAACTTGCTTTCTGGGCTGTGGTTTCACATTGAGCATATTTAAAGGATAAAAGTATGAAGTCCTGGAGCGTCAATCTCGTTTGAGGTATGCGCCTATGTATCCGTCTTCCATTCAAAATCGTAGAATCGTGGAAGACTCGGTTGGCCTAGCCGGATACTGAACCGAAATTCGAACCCGTGACCGTGTGTGTGAGATAGTGCGGCACTTGCCACTACCCCTCCTCTGCCCTTTTCGAGTCAATGCCCAACTAAATTTCTTTTTTCAATTCCATCAGTCAACTCAGGGATTCTCCACTGAGAACAATCCATGCATCGCTCAAAAATTATCCTTTATTTTGTTCTATGTTTTCCTTTCGATTTTGATTAGATTAAGACCTACGCAAGAGGGTGCCCAGTCAACGTGAAATAGGAAACTACGAAAATTATTTTAAAATTTAATTCAAATTTTCCTTATTGTAAAACCCGTCCAGGCTATTTCTTATTACCTCTTCTCAACGTTTCACTAATTTTACAACGATTCGGCGCCGTCGAGTCTAAACACCAATCGTGGCGGAAAAAAACAAATACTTAACCAAAAAATGTCTTAAATATAGTATAAAGTAGATAAAAGCACAGAAGGGGAGGTCATGCTGGTTGTGACTTTGACGTTAAGGGCACGATTTTGGCCCACGAGGACAGTATTGGTGCTAGAAAAACCCTCGAGGCTTTCTGGATAATACACCGAAATCCGAGCATGAATAACAAGAATGAGTGCATCAACATAACTGGTGACCTCTTGCCTTTCATCCCTCTGTGTGAGCTCTGATAATGGAGACTGATACGTGTCACGTCACGATACTATTAAAGGGTCGTGATTGACCGGGCTGTCTCAATGGTATTGGTGCCAGAAAAACTCTCGAGGCTTTCTGGATAAGACACCGAAATCCGAGCATGAATAACAAGAATGAGTGCATCAACATAACTGGTGACCTCTT